AGTAGGTACCCAACATAACAACAGGTTGGACATAGTAGCTCAGATAGATAGAGCCTGTCTGCATGCCTGATTTCTGTAACTGTTAGCTTACCTGTGTAATACTGACATAAGCTCAGAACCAATTGTGTTTCAAACATTATCCTGTTTTATCAATTGCTGTGCTGATCAATGGACAGTTCATTACCTCGGTCAAAATAATGTGTTGCTTAAAGTTATGTTTGTATATGTATTTATTTTTGCAATTATGATGGTGACGCAACAATAATACAAATTTACAATAGGCCTAGGTCTAAAAATACATACAACCAAATGACACATAGTTTGAAGTACAATATCAACATAGCTACTGTAGTAGGTCAAAGCTGTGTGCTGGAAAACCTTGGTAGAGCATGGGTGCTCGTGAATTTCCTTTCTTTTCGGCTTCAGACCAATGCCTATTCTCACTTAAAAATATATATTATTTATTTTATTTCCATGGTTTTTACACCGGAAGGTGATTATGCAACATTATTATACAACATTATAATTAAGCAATAAGGCCCGAGGGGGTGTGGTATATGGCCAATATACCATGGCTAAGGGCTGTTCTTTTTCACGACGCAATGCGGAGTGCCTGGATACAGCCCTTAGCTGTGGTATATTGGCCATATACCACAAACCCCCGAGGTGCCTTATTGCTATTATAAACTGGTTACCAACGTAATTAGAAGAGTAAAAGTAAATGTTTTGTCATACCCGTGGTATACGGTCTGTTGTACCACGGCATTCAGCCAATCAGAATTCAGGGCTCAAACCACCCAGTTTATAATACAGCCTAACACTTGCTCTCCTTGTGAACCCTCACAATGTCGTACATTTTATCAATTGTATTTATTGATAAGATCCCAGCTTATACTCCTACTGATCGTTGCTCAAAGCAAATTGGCAAGAGCAAGGAAACAAAGACTGAAGCAAATATTTACTATGCGATTAAACAGTATAGCTGGCTAGATTACTACAGGAGCGCAACATATGGATGAGCTGTTCTCAATGAAAGGGTTCTGAAAAATTATCTCTCGCTAAGGCGAGGTGTGACTGTCAATATATCATAGTCATCCACCTCGGTGGAAATGACTTGGGACACACAAAGGAGACAGCCCTGGTGTGTCAGATGTAAGCTGATTTGGAGGTCGTCATCTGAATGTTCCGCAGAACAATGGTGGTCTACTCTGACATCACACAGTGGAGGAGTTAGATGTTCCAGTGGGAGGAGGACATCAACAAGCTCATAGAGATGGCCCGGCGCTCTCTCAACCAGCTGGTGTTTGCATTTCTCTGTGACAGGCGCATGCCCACAATCGGCCACTTTGCCATAAATCACTGTGTCCCTGGGTATTACCGTAGGGCAGGGTTTCCCAAACTTGGTCCTGGGGCACCCCTGGGTGCACGTTTAGTTTTTTGCCATAGCACTACACAGCTGATTCAAATAATCAAAGCTTGATGATGAGTTGGTTATTTGAGTCATCTGTGTAGTGCTAGGGCAAAAACCAAGGGAGGGATGGCGTGCATCTAAAAAATGAGTGCAACAACCTTTTCCTTGAGAGTCTGAGAGCTGATCTCTCCTCCTTTCTAGCAAGATGCATGCAGTAGTACACACTCACTGCCACTTGCCTGCCTCTCCACAAACCCAAAGGCTCTTTTAAGAGCCACCTAATACATGTAAATAAGTGTGCGTGTCAGGAGGGGGCTGTCAAAACTATAAACGAAAGAATGATCAAAATATCTCCTTATGAATTTGCAATATGTATTACATGTTACGAATTCCAATTTGTTGTGGCTAACGTTAGCTAGGCGGCTAATGTTAGCTAGGCTAGGGGTTAGGGTTAAGGTTAGGAGTTATGTAAAAGGGTTAAGGTTAGGGGAAGGGTTAGCTAACATGCTAAGTAGTTGCAAAATAGGTATTTAGCTAAAATGCTAAAGTTGTCCATGATGACATTCAAACAACTTTTGGGTTGCTAGACATTCGCGTTATATGCCCATCCTTCCACCCCGACCAACGACACTCGGGACTTTTCCTATTTCTGAAATAAATCTCTATTTGTGATGGCATGTTATAGAAGGGTCCAGACACTTTTTTTGTGATTTGGCTTGTTTTTGAGAACATGCCATTTACATAAAAAATAGAGATTTACTTCAGAAATAGGAGAAGTGTTCTTTAAGTAACCTTCTGTCTTATGTAACCATACCAAACATAACATAACATACTTATTTCAGATGTACATTTACTATGGTACGTCTAGTCAATGAGACTGACTGGCACACAGCAAGTCACTAAGCAAGCAACAATTCTGATGTTGTTTTAACCTGGTGCAGCGTGTGGAGTAAAGGGGGGGGGGGTAGAAGGATTACTTTACCCTATCCCAGGTATTCCTTAAAGAGGTGGGGTTTCAAATGTCTCCGGAAGGTGGTGAGTGACTCCGCTGTCCTGGCATCGTGAGGGAGCTTCTTCCACCATTGGGGTGCCAGAGAAGCGAACAGTTTTGACTGGGCTGAGCAGGAACTATGCTTCTGCAGAGGTAGGGGAGCCAGCAGGCCAGAGGTGGATGAACGCAGTGCCCTCGTTTGGGTGTAGGGACTGATCAGAGCCTGAAGGTACGGAGGTGCCGTTCCCCTCACAGCTCCGTAGGCAAGCACCATGGTCTTTTAGCAGATGCGAGCTTCAACTGGAATTCAGTGGAGTGTGCGGAGGAGCGGGGTGACGTGAGAGAACTTGGGAAGGTTGAACACCAGACGGGCTGCGGCATTCTGGATGAGTTGTAGGGGTTTAATGGCACAGGCAGGGAGCCCAGCCAACAGCGAGTTGCAGTAATCCAGACGGGAGGGCGATAGATGACAAGGATATTAAGCTTAAATGGGCAAGTGACTGTGACAGCATGGAATTCAAATGAGGAGATAGACAGATGGGTCAGGGGAAAAATTGAGAATGTCCACTTGGGAGAGATGAGGATTCCTGTGCCACCACCCCGCTGACCAGATGCTCTCGGGGTATGCGAGAACACATGGTCAGACGAGGAGAGAGCAGCAGGAGTAGCAGTGTTTTCAGTGGTAATCCATGTTTCCGTCAGCGCCAAGAAGTCGAGGGACTGGAGGGTAGCATAGGCTGGGATGAAGTCTGCCTTGTTGGCAGCAGAACGGCAGTTCCAGAGGCTGCCTGAGACCTGGAACTCCACGTGGGTCGTGCGTGCAGGGACCACCAGGTTAGAGAGGCAGCAGCCACGCGGTGTGAGGCGTTTGTGTAGCCTGTGCGGAGAGGAGAGAACAGGGATAGGCAGAGGCATAGTTGACAGGGTGCAGCAGATGGCTACAATAATGCAGAGGAGATCGGAATAAAATGAACTAAACATCTGGGAAAGGAGAGAGCGGGGCCTCCCTCACCACAACTCCCAAATATAACTCTCCCAACTTCCACCTCAGAAACTATAATTGTTGTAAACTACAGCGGTTCAATGTTTTCTAGGAATAGACTAACCTAGTTTATTCAGCTAGCTAACTAGGTGCAGTATTATTCCGTGAAAAACGTCCGGGCACCTCGTCATAAGACGCCACAGCCAGCTAGCATGCCGGTCTCCAACAGCAGGGTTTAGCGCCAATACTCAGCCACAACAACCACCAGTGTATCAACACTCAAGCAGATCGTTCGTGTCCGTGTCTAACGTTGTGGGTAAGTCCCGACAGCTTGAGCGAGTCCGTAGTCAACTTATTCAGCCAGTTAGTTAGCTAGAATAGTTAGCAAACTAGCTAGCCATTGCTTTCAGACAAAGAAGAACCCCTCCTTTCACGGCACGAACACACAGAGAGAGCCAAACTAACGTTAACTAGTCACCCATGTCCCGAATTCCTTGAGCGACTCGGGCTATCAATATGTAAAAAACAAAACACAAGTGTAGGTTATGACTTACCCCTAGCAGCTACTGTTAGCTAGCCAAGTGCAAAGCTAGCCACTGAATTGACTTAGCCAGTTCGCGTCTGTTCGCTCTGTCGTTCCAGCTAGTTATGTTTTGTGCTAGAATGAATGATATATTATGATATATTGTTTTGCATTAACTGGCCATACACGTTAGCTAATGGTACAGTCTTACGTTGGCTAAGGTTACTTTGCTAGCTGAAGTTAATTGGCTATCATAACAGCCAAGGACGTTTGCTAGTTTATTTGTGCATATTTGTTTGTGCTCCAATTACACGCAAGTGTCTACATCAGCAGTTTCCACATGATGACTTTAGCCATATGTGAAAAACCCTACTTGGCAAAATATAGCTAGCTAGCTAGCTAGCTTTCATCGCTTGTTGGTTAGCTACCTAGCCAACGTTAGCTCATCTGGCTGGTATAATGTTACGTTAGCTAGCTAGCTACCTATCTAATGAAAACAAAACCACATTCATTGGCTAGCGATCTGTATTTGCCTGTTGGTTAGCTAGCTAGCTTTCAGCTGACTGGTGTTAGCGAGCTACAGAGGCTAGCTGCTGGACTTTGTACAAGCAAGCTAACGTTAGTTAGGTAACGTTAGCTAGTTAGCTACCTAGCTAATCATAATATATTTGTGCAATTATTGATTAACCTCAGCTTGAATACCACCATATAGCTAGCTATATACATTAGCCTAGGTTTGTTCGCATACACTTCTTATGACTGGCAGCATGGTGCAAGCAGCTGTGTTGTTGCCGAGCAACCAACCCAGTGTTAGAACTATTGAGTTTCGGCTAAAAAAAGATGTTAGCATTGTCAGCTACAAAAAGGTAGATGATCGTTGTTTCTTAACAGACAGAAATGTGCATGTGAGAACGATAAATTATACATTTAATAAAGACTGCTGCACCTACAAACTCAGTCAATCTGGCATATTTTAAGTCCAATGGTCACTTCATGGACTCTATAGTCTCGTTTTAATCAAATGTCTAGAATTTGAGCTAGGTAGGCGCAATAAATACTCTTAAAACTGAATTGCTAACTGCCCTGTTAAAAAATGTGGTATGTGGTTCTCGGTAACGGACAAACGGCTCACGACAGAGGCGGGGAGTGTGTGTACCTCCAAGTTGATTTGCGTATTTTCATCGAGATTGGTGTCATTTTGGCTTACGTATGATAGAGAGATTTTAATTTAACACTGAGCTTCAACCAATGCCTATAATAGACGACTATCGTCTCGTCTATAATAATGGTGTTGTTGTGAATCTTATTGCATTGCAGGGGGAAGATCGTGCTGGGCTACACTGAGGCTGAGCTCCGGGTCCGAGGCTCTGGATACCAGTTTATCCATGCAGCTGATATGCTCTACTGTGCTGAGAACCACGTCCGCAGTAAGGCTTTTACAATGACATCTCTACCTTTAATAATAATCATGGAATATTCCAAATAGCATTGGTTTAGAACAGTAACTTGACAATTAAACTTAATTATTTAGGTACATTTTTTTTTATTTTTTTTATTTCATTTCACCTTTATTTAACCAGGTAAGCCAGTTGAGAACAAGTTCTCATTTACAACTGCGACCTGGCCAAGATAAAGCAAAGCATTGTGATAAAAACAACAACACAGAGTTACATATGGGATAAACAAAACATAAAGTCAAAAATACAACAGAAAATATATATACAGTGTGTGCGAATGTAGTAAATTATGGAGGTAAGGCAATAAATAGGCCATTGTGCAAAATAGTTACAATATCGTATTAACACAGGAATGATAGATGTGCAAAAGAGGATGTGCAAATAGAGATACTGGGGTGCAAATGAGCAAAATAAATAACAATATGGGGATGAGGTAGTTGGATGGGCTAATTACAGATGGGCTGTGTACAGGTGCAGTGATCGGTAAGCTGCTCTGACAACTGATGCTTAAAGTTAGTGAGGGAGATAAGAGTCTCCAGCTTCAGAGATTTTTGCAGTTTGTTCCAGTCATTGGCAGCAGAGAACTGGAAGGAATGGCGGCCAAAGGAGGTGTTGGCTTTGGGGATGACCAGTGAGATATAGCTGCTGGAGTGCAGACTACAGGTGGGTGTTGATATGGTGACCAGTGAGCTAAGATAAGACGGGGATTTGCCTAGCAGTGATTTATAGATGACCTGGAGCCAGTGGGTTTGGCAACGAATATGTAATGAGGGCCAGCCAACAAGAGCGTACAGGTCACAATGGTGGGTAGTATATGGGGCTTTGGTGACAAAACGGATGGCACTGTGATAGACTACATCCAATTTGCTGAGTAGAGTGTTGGAGGCTATTTTGTAAATGACATCGCCGAAGTTAAGGATCGGTAGGATAGTCCGTTTTACGAGGTCATGTTTGGCAGCATGAGTGAAGGAGGCTTTGTTGCGAAATAGGAAGCCGATTCTAGATCTAACTTTTGATTGGAGATGCTTAATGTGAGTCTGGAAGGAGAGTTTACAGTCTAACCAGACACCTAGGTATTTGTAGGTGTCCACATACTCTAGGTCAGACCCGCAGAGAGTAGTGATTCTAGTCGGGTGGGCGGGTGCAAGCAGCGTTCGGTTGAAGAGCATGCATTTAGTTTTACTAGTGTTTAAGAGCAGTTGGAGGCTACGGAAGGAGTGTTGTATGGCGTTGAAGCTCGTTTGGAGGTTTGTTAAAACAGTGTCCAATGAAGGGCCAGATGTATACAAAATGGTGTCGTCCGCATAGAGGTGGATCCGAACATCACCAGCAGCAAGAGCGACATCATTGATATACACAGAGAATAGAGTCGGCCCGAGAATTGAACCTTGTGGCACCCCAATAGAGACTGCCAGAGGTCCAGACAACAGGCCCTCCGATTTGATTTATCGGTGGTGACAGTGTTTCCTAGCCTCAGTGCAGTGGGCAGTTGGGAGGAGGTGCTCATATTCTCCATGGACTTTACAGTGTCCCAAAACAGTTTCTGGAGTTAGTGCTACAGGATGCAAATTTCTGTTTGAAAAAGCTAGCCTTTGCTTTCCTAACTGATTGTGTATATTGGTTCCTGACTTCCCTGACAAGTTGCATATCTCGGGGGCTGTTCGATGCTAATGCAGTACGCCACATGATGTGTTTGTGCTGGTCAAGGGCAGTCAAGTCTGAGGAGAACCAGGGGCTATATCTGTTCTTAGTTGAGGGGTGGTCGTTTGACCGCGGACCCATTACGGACGCAGGCAATAAGGCAGAGATCGCTGAGATCCTGGTTGAAGACAGCGAAGGTGTATTTAGAGGGTACATTTGTCAGGATGATATCTATGAGCGTGCTCATGTTTACAGATTTTGGGTTGTACCTGGTAGGTTTGTTGATAATTTGTGTGAGATTGAGGGCATCTAGTTTAGATTGTAGGTTGGCCGGGGTGTTAAGCATATCCCAGTTTAGGTCACCAAGCAGTACGAACTCTGAGGATAGATGGGGGGCAATCAGTTCACATATGGTGTCCAGGGCACAGCTTCGGGGCTGAGGGGGGTCTGTAGCAAGCGGCAACAGTGAGAGACTTATTTCTGGAAAGGTGGATTTTTAGAAGTAGAAGCTCAAACTGTTTGGGCACAGACCTGGATAGTATGATAGAGCTCTACAGTAGATTGCAACCCCACCCCCTTTGGCAGTTCTATCGAGACGGAAAATGTTATAGTTGGGGATGGACATTTCTGAATTTTTGGTGGCCTTCCTAAGCCAGGATTCAGACACTGCTAGAACATCAGGGTTGGCGGAGTGTGCTAATGCAGTGAATAACTCAAACTTAGGGAGGAGGCTTCTGATGTTAACGTGCAAGAAACCAAGGCTTTTACGGTTACAGAAGTCAACAAATGATAACGCCTGGGGAGTAGGAGTGATACTGGGGGCTACAGGGCCTGGGTTAACCTCTACATCACCAGAGGAACAGAGGAGGAGTAGAATAAGGATACGACTAAAGGCTTTAAAAACTGGTCTTCTAGTGCGGTGGGTACAGAGAAAAAAAGGGGCAGATTTCCGGGCGTTGTAGAATAGATTCAGGGCATTATGTACAGACAAGGATATGAGTACAGTGGAGGTAAAGCTAAGCGTTGGGTAACGATGAAAGAGATAGCATCACTGGAGGCACCGATTGAGTCGGTCTCCACGTGTATGTGGGGTGGGACAAAGGAGCTGTCTACGGCAAGTTGAGCTGGGCTGGGGGCTCTACAGTGAAATAGTACAACAAGAAATAACCAAAACAGCAATAAGCAAGGCATATTGACATGGGAGAGAGTCATAAAGCAATCACAGGTGTTATTCGAGAGAGCTAAGACAACAGCTGGTAATGGCGACAAAGTTTGGGCTGAGGCTAAACATAAACAGGATGCGGTACCGTATAAAGGAACAGTCCAGCAGGCATCAGCTGTATAGCTGAGTTATCATAAGGTCCGGTGAACAGCAATAGGAGAGTTCGGAGGTAGTTCGGGGGCTGCTACAGCACTGGCGAGCAAGAAGCCCGGCTTGCGTGTGCTAGTGGGCCGGGGATAGCAGTTGGATCTTCGTGGTCGACGTCGTAACGGGAAGCCTGTTGAAACCACATCAGACGATTTCATCGGCAAACCAGTCGTGTTGGATCGGCGGGGCTCCGTGTCAACACTAGGAGGTCCCGTCCGGTTGACAGAGAGGTAGATAGCCGGGAGATGGGCCTGGCTCGAGGCTAGCTCAAGGCTAACTGGTGCTTGCTAAGGGGCAATGGTAATTAGCCAACAACAACAGCCATTTGGTTGCAGCTAGCTGGTTGCGATGATCCGGCGCTAGGGTCCAGTGATTCCGGCAGAAAATCTGATATGCTCTGGGTCGATAGCACGCTGTGCAGACTGGCCAACAAATTGTCCAGGCTAGAGCTAGAGCTGGCTGGTGGGTAGTGCAGGCCACTGACAACGGTGGCTAATAGCAAGTAGCCATTCGGTTGCAGCTAGACTAGTTTCAGCTTAAGGTTCTTGATAAAAGTTATAAAGAAATAATATAATCCTTTCCACGTTGGGTGAGGCGGGTTGCAGGAAAGTATATTTAGTTAAAGAATGAAAACTAAAATTGAGAAATATATACAAAATAGACAAAAAAACAAAAGAAAACGGCCTATTTACACAAGGACACAGAAAAAAACACGACCACACAGCTACGCCATCTTGGAATCTACAAAAGTATGTGGACACCTGCTCGTCAAACATCTCATTCTAAAATCATAAGCATTAATATGGAGTTGGTCCCCCCTTTTTTACTATAACAGCCTCCACTCCACCATTTATGTATGGACCTCGCTTTGTGTATGGGGACATTGTCATGCTGAAACAGGAAAGGGCCTTCCCCAAATTGATGCCACAAAGTTGGAAGCACAGACTCGTCTAGAATGTCATTGTATGCTGTAGCGTTAAGATTTCCCTTCACTGGAACTAAGGGGCCTAGCCCGAACCATGAAAACTGTACAATTGGCTCAGAACAGGGCAGCACGGCTGGCCCTTGGATGTACACATAAATAATATGCATGTCAATCTCTCCTGGCTCAAAGTGGAGGAGAGATTGACTTCATCACTACTTGTATTTGTGAGAGTTATTGACCTGTTGAAGCTGTCTATTTGAACTACTGGCACACAGCTCGGACACTCATGCATACCCCACAAGACATGCCACCAGAACAAGAACAAACTATGGGAGGGGCACAGTACTACATAGAGCCATGACTACATGGAACTCTATTCCACATCAAGTAACTCATGCAAGCAGTAAAATTAGATTAAAAAAACTGATAAAAATACACCTTATGGAACAGTGGGGACTGTGAAGCACGCAAACAGACACAGACACGTGCATACAAACACACGATAACATACGCTCTATACACACACGTACACATGGATTTTGTGTTGTACATACATTTGAAGTCGTAAGTTTACATACACTTAGGTTGGAGTCATTAAAACCTGTTTTTCAACCACACCACACATTTATTGTTAACAAACTTTAGTTTTGACAAGTCGGTTAGGACATCTACTTGTGCATGACACAAGTACATTTTCCAACAATTGTTTACAGCCATATTATTTCACTTATAATTCACTGTATCACAATTCCAGTGTGTCAGAAGTTTACATACACTAAGTTGACTGTGCCTTTAAACAGCTTGGAAAATTCCAGAAAATGATGTCATGGCTTTAGAAGCTTCTGATAGACTAATTGACATCATTTGAGTCAATTGGAGGTGTACCAGTGGATGTATTTCAAGGCCTGCCTTCAAACTCAGTGCCTCTTTACTTGACATCATGGGAAAATCAAAATAAATCAGCCAAGACCACAGAAAACAAATTGTAGACCTCCACAAGTCTGGTTCATCCTTGGGAGCAATTTCCAAACGCCTGAAGGTACCACGTTCATCTGTACAAACAATAGTACACAAGTATAAACAACATGGGACCACGCAGCCATCATACCGCTCAGGAAGGAGACACGTTCTATCTCCTAAAGATGAACGTACTTTGGTGCGAAAAGTGCAAATCAATCCAGAACAACAGCAAAGGACCTTGTGAAGATACTGGAGGAAACAGGTACAAAAGTATCTATATCCACCACAGTAAAATGAGTCCTATATCGACATGACCTGAAAGGCCGCTCAGCAAGGAAAAAGCCACTGCTCCAAATCCGCCATAAAAAAGCCAGACTACGGTTTTCAACTGCACATGGGGACAAAGATCGTACCTTTTGGAGCAATGTCCTCTGGTCTGATGAAACAAAAATATAATTGTTTGGCCATAATGAACATTGTTATGTTTGGAGGAAAAAGGGGGCTGCTTGCAAGCCGAAGAACACCATCCCAACCGTGACGCACGGGGGTGGCAGCATCATGCTGTGGAGGTGCTTTTCTGCAGGAGGGACTGATGCACTTCACAAAATAGATGGCATCATGAGGAAGGAAATGTATGTGGATATATTGAAGCAACATATCAAGACATCAGTCAGGAAGTTAAAGCTTGGTCGCAAATGGGTCTTCCAAATGGACAATGACCCCAAGCATACTTCCAAAGTAGTAAGGACAACAAAGTCAAGGTATTGGAGTGGCCATCACAAAGCCCTGACCTCAATCCTATGGGCAGAACTGAAAAAGCGTGTGCGAGCAAGGAGGCCAACAAACCTGACTCAGTTACACCAGCTCTGTCAGGAGGAATGGGCCAAAATCCACGCAACTTATTGTGGGAAGTTTGTGGAAGGCTACCCAAAACGTTTCACCCAAGTTAAACAATTTAAAGGCAATGCTACCAAATACTAATTGAGTGTATGTAAACTTCTGACCCACTGGGAATGTGATGAAAGAAATAAAAGCTAAAATAAATCATTCTCTCGACTATTATTCTGACATTTCACATTCTTAAAATAAAGTGGTGATCCTAACTGACCTAAGACAGGGATGTTTTACTAGGATTAAATGTCAGGAATTGTGAAAAACAGAGTTTAAATGTATTTGGCTAAGGTGTATGTAAACTTCCGACTTCAACTGTATGTGGTAGTAGAGTAGGGGCCTGAGGGCACACAATTAATATGTTGTGAAATGTATTATAAAGTTTTAAAAAAATATGTAACTGCCTTAATTTTGGCGGAACCCAGGAAGAGTAGCTGCTGCCTTGGCAGCTAATGGGGATCCATAATAAATACAAATACAAATACAGTTGTCACTATGCATTGGGGCGGTTAGCGTTCTCCTGGCATCCGCCAAACCCAGATTCATCTGTTGCACTGCCAGCTGGTGAAGCGTGATTCATCACTCCAGAGAACGCGTTTCCACTGCTCCAAAGTCCAACGGCAGCGAGCTTAACAACACTCCAGACTAACAGTTATTGTGCTGACGTTGCTTCCAGAGGCAGTTTGGAAAAGTTTGGAACTCGGCAGTGAGTTGTTGCTCCTAGGCGTTTCCACTTCACAATAACAGCACTTACAGTTGACCGGGGCAGCTCTAGCAGGGCCGAAATTTGATAAACTGACTTGTTGGAAAGGTGGCATCCTATGACGGTGCCACGTTGAAAGTCACTGAGCTCTTCAGTATGGGCCATTCTACTGCTAATGTTTGTCTATGGAGATTGCATGGCGGTGTTTGATTTTATACACCTGTCAGCAATGGGTGTGGCTGAAATAGCCAAATCCACTAATTTGAAGGGGTGTCCACATACTTAGTGTATATTAGTACTACATAGAGCTATCTAATTATATTTCTGTGCAGTAAGCTAACTACATATGGGTTAGAAATATTATCTCAGTGGCAGACTGACACCACACACTCTCCTCTGTTGTTTGTTGAGAGAGAGAGAGAGAGAGAGAGAGAACACAATCGTTCAGCAGTAACAGTGTCCTACTTACAGTAGCATGTAAACACAATGACCCTGTTCTAACCATGGAACGTTCAGCATCACTACTCTCCATGCACTCCATACTGCTCTTTACAGCTCAGTGGTTGATGGCAAATATAACTCCCCCATCTCTCTAAGTTTACAATATCACTTCCCCTTCCATCTCTCTGACTTTATAGTACATACCAAATCAAGCTTAAAGAAAAGCTTGAGAGCCATGCGAGAGCCATACTGGAGGGGACAATTTGCTTATTGAAAGTGTTAAAATACGCTAGTGAGCACAAAGACAAGCATGATGTTATTCACATTATTGTTATTGGCCAATATCACCCCCAACTTTCTGACTCTGAGTTTAAACGCTAGAGTGGACAATTTGCCTAATGAAAGTGTTAAAATAAGCTAGTGAGCGCAAAGACAAGCATGATGTTATTAATATCAACAACAAAAATCCAGCATTCATTGTTGGACATATAGTTATTTCAGGACAGTATATGCTGCCTTTTCAAACTATTGACTCTCAACCTTTCATTGCTTATAGAAAGTAGTCCAGGGTAGTAGGTTGGTGTCTCTAAAGAACGTGTAGGCAGAGCTTTGATTGGCAAACTGTCAGAGAGCTAGTGGAAGTCTCTGGTTGCATCCTAATAGTCTCTCCTTTCTCCCAAAGTGTACACTTGTTCACTTCCCTTCATGGATTTGAAAGGTAATGACTGGTATATGGAAACTCCCTCTAGCCCCTGCCAATACAAATCCAATGCTTTTACATTTGTAGAGAGTAGTGAACCAGTGCACACTTCAGTAGGGAGGAGGGATTATTGGGACAAACCCTATAGATGGGGTTGGTTGACAACGTCACAAAAATGATGCGCGCACATCGATGTGGCCGGAAGCCGTGCGTTTTTATGATTCTGATAGCTAGCAACAATGACTAAAAGCTGCCATGTGGGGAATCGTAGGTGGCTTGTTTCAGCTAGTTTTATCTTGTTGATACCATGTCTTGTTTTGAGGTGTTTTGACTGATTTCATGTCAATTCTAATACAGCAAACATTCGCTAGCTAGCTAATCAACAACTGTAACGATATATTTGACAGACAAGTGCTCATTGTGCAAATGAAACAAAATATAGTTTTTTGTTGTTGTTGTACTTTTACCCCTTTTTCTCCCCAATATTCATGTTGTCCAATTGGTAGTTACAGTGTTGTCCCATCACTGCAACTCCCCTACGGACTCAGGAGAGGCGAAGGTCGAGAGCCATGCGTCCTCTGAAACACGACCCTGTCAAGCCGCACTGCTTCTTGACACACTGCTCGGTTAACACGGAAGCCAGCCGCACCAATGTGTCGGAGGAAACACCATCCAGCTGGCGACCAAAGTCAGCTTGCAGACGCCCGGCCCGCCACAAGGAGCCACTAGAGCGCGATGGGACAAGGAAATCCTGGCTGGCCAAACCCTCCCCTAACCCGACGACACTGGGCCAATTGTGCGCCGCCTCATGGGTCTCCCGGTCATGGCCGGCTGTGACCGAACCCGGGTCTGTAGTGACGGCGATGCAGTGCCTTAGACCGCTGCGACACTCGGGAGATAACAAAATATAGTTTACATGTTGTCAGCAATTTAAGCCAACCCTGTCTGTTTTGCCCAGTAGTTGCGCAAGCGTCAGTTTTTATTGCTAAACAACCAACCCATCTATGTGTCTCTGTGTGGCACATGGTTGGTTAGAGTGGAGAATATGTTTACACATAATCCAGATTATGGAGGAGATTGTGCAAAACCCAGAGCAGAGCAGAGTACCGGAGAGCAGAGCAGAGCGGTGAGGGGATAGGAAGGTGAACTGGGGCCACATATCCATATCAGGAATGGAATTAAGATCCAAAGTCCACCAGTGTCCACTGAAAGTGACCAAATAATAAGAGTTTCAGTAGCACTGCATGGGAACACATTGGGTGTAAATCTGCAGTGTCTGCAAATCGCTTTACTGCAAGCCTCTCTGTAAAACAATGGGTCTACAGTGCTTCACACCTGTGTCCATTCACCACAATGAACCTACTCCGGAAGGCTGCACAGCTGAGACGGGCTCTACGCCACAACACACTCAGCAAAGCTAACAATAGGCCAATTGGGAGAAGGATCAAGGAGTGTGTGTCTGTGTGTGTGTGTGTGTACATTTAGAGGTGATGGTGCCTGCGTGCATGGGGGCATGTACATTCGCATGTGTGCAAATAGCATATTTCTGCAGACTTGCTTTTGTAAGCCTACATGAGTGTGTAGGGGTTGGTTCCATGCATGGGTGCACATATGTACTGTGTTTCCTATGTGCATAATAGCCTATGTTCAGTTATGACCATACAGTCATTGGTTCTGACACATCCCCCTGACTCAGTGTCTTATGTGATTCCAGTGATCAAGACAGGAGAGAGTGGGCTGACGGTGTTCAGACTGCTCACTAAGGATAACCGCTGGAAGTGGGTCCAAGCCAACGCCAGGCTGGTCTACAAGAACGGCAAGCCTGACTACATTATCGCCACCCAGAGGCCCCTGGTGTAAGTGCAGCTTCAGCCTCTTCACCCCTCCAAACCCAATGACATTTTTTGAACACTTTCTGAGTGTTAAATCTAACACTGGAGTTGATTTGTCACTGGGGATTTTGCTTTGTCTGTTTGTATGAAGGATTTCAATGAGGTGAATGTAATATGTAATCCTATACAGTCAGAGCTGTTTAGTCCATAGTGTTAGGGACTTTAGTCCATATAGTCGTCCATAGTAGTCCCTAGTGTTCTGATAAACTCCTCCTCTTGTTCCCAGTGAGTAGGAAGGAGGACAATAGATTAGATTTCATCACGTTAATATTACACTGTACACCAGGGGTTCCCAAACTTTTTTGGGCCGTGACCCCATTTTGTTATCTGAAAATTATCCATATGAAAAAAAAAGATGTAATTAACAGTCAATGTTAACTTTTGTAATTGGAGCTATGGCAGTCCATTGCAAATTAGTCTGACATAATTTCTCTTATCTCACCACCACTAATGAGATGGGTTTGCTTGATGCATGTCGCATCGGAGCTTCTCAAAGTCAAGGGGCGTGGTCAGCAGTGAGCACTGCATCTCTCCTGTCCAGTGGCGGCTCCTGAAAAAATTCTCAGGGGGGGCAATTTTTCTGATGATTTAGGTGACCTACACACATTTTTAAAAAGATATGTCCAGCAACAACATGAAGACAGGGGCAGCATATAAGTCAATACCAGAAGCATTTATTGACTGATCTCAAAAGTGTTGGCTTACAAAATCAAAATAAGTTATCACAGTAAAAATAATCAAGGGTGTTCTTTCACATTCCTCAACACTGCATAAACAATATGCATTTCCATAAACAAATGAAATATCAGCTGAAAATACAGCATCTTGGTATTTGTTCAGATTGCAGGATCAACAAGAGCTTTTACCACATTTTTTGCCTCATGGTTGAATTGGAAATATGTGCACCTGAGCATAATTCACAACAAGCAAGCAGGAGCTTTTGATAGAGGCTACTGAAAACATTGATGCAAGTTATTGGTAATAAGACATTTTTATAGACTTCCATATTCTGCCCTCTTGTATAGATTTGTGAAAATGAACAGTGATAGACATTTTGCCTGAAAACAGAATTTGAAAGTAATTTCTAGAAAAGGTAAACACAGCTATCTGTATGGCTTTGTAAAAATTAACAACCATATTCTGGCCAATTGTATAGATTTGTAAATATGAACAACCATATTCTGGCCAATTGTATAGATTTGTAAAAATGAACATTGAGAAAGATCGAATGATATTGTTTAATCTTACCTTATGGCCTGCACACTGCTTGTGAAGCTGTCGAGGGCACGTTTGATAAAGACAGCATCGATGTCCTTCTTCTGTAGCTTCTGGTACAGAATGTCGACGTGGGGCATGATTTTGTGAAAAAGCCGCAGGAAAAAAATAAAATCTTCATCATGTAGCATCCTCACGTAGCCAGTCAAATGAACCCAATGAACCCGTCCGAATGGCTTCAAAACATTCTATGAGGTCGTCTCGATTCTCGTAGACAGTTTTCACGACTCTGCTTAGTAGAAACCTGTTGAATTATTAAATTTGGTCTGGGAGGTCCTAATTGTTTCGTTGCCAATTTATCTTGATTTGTTCGCCGACAAAAAGGAACTTCTTTCAAAGAGACAATCGCGTTGCACTGAAGGCTAGCCATTTTGACAGTAATAGTGAATTGATTGATGAGGCTACCCGCTCTTTTCTTAGTTACGTTCATGGTTATGTTACGTATGACGAAAGCGCGTAAGTGCAAGCCCTCAGAAACCCATAGAGATTGTATTGAAAGCTCTGATATTTGAAAAAAATTGATTTTACATTAGAGGCTATGAGAGACTTCTGGGCGATTTTCAACCTGACTGAAATCGCCCCAAAACGGGCGGGGACATTTGAAGCACGACTTTAGCCTGATTGGACATTTAGTGGCAGATCAGACATCTAGATTAGAACACTGATAACTACTGTTGCCGTGATATAATTGATTAGAAAAAAAATCCCTTCCTTTTCCCGTTTGGCAGTGCGTCGCCCATATCGACCTAATGAACACACCGCCCCTGCTCCTGTCACATCCAACCTGGATCGATATTTGTTTTTAATGCAGACGAGAGCACTGAATCAGTGTACCATGAGTTTTAATGCTCGGAGGGAGATGGCATTGTATTCCCTTAGAGTCAGGAACCAAAACTCCTCCATAGTGACCCGTGAATGCGTGATAGATGGAGCCCCATCTGTGCAAAAGCCCACCATTCGATCCCATGGATTATTTTTTATGTCAATATATCCATGCAGCTCACTGAACATCCCCTGTGCCATTTCATGCTTGGGAATCGTGAGACAGAACAAGATGTCCTCGTGAATAGCATCCCCCGCATGTAGGGAACAAAAGTCAATGCATTGGTATCTCGGTCCTCACAGCTAAGGTCCATTTGGAGAGCATAAGGTGTGGAGTTTTTGAGTCGTTCAGTCAGAGTTTCCTCTTGATTGCTAGTTATAGCGTAAATTCTTAGTTTCACAGTGTTATCTGACAAAGGTATTGATGTGAGTTTCTGTGCCTCTGCCTCCCCACACATTGTTCTCACCATATCAATTGCTGCCGGTAATATCAAAGTCTCTGCAGTAGTGTGTGGTTTCATAGCGTAGTGCTTAGCCATTCACCGTGGGAATGATTCAAGAGCAACGGTCAAGAGCGGCCTTATCAAAGGGCGCTCTCTGGTTGAATTTTAACTTTTAAATTTGAATAATTTTCATTTTGATTTTTAAGGTTAAGCACATTACAATGATTTTGAGAGACAAAGACGATATATTTTGGTGTGTGTGTTTTTTAAAACCAGGATTTTGGAAATTCTCCTGCGACCCCATTTTTAACCGCTGCTGTACACTGTTAAAATGAAGTACTTTGTAACACTAAAACTAGTAGCAACTGAGCTGCCACCAACTTTAACGAGACGAAACCTTAACTTTGCTGGAGTTTTATCCTACTAAGAGTCTGTTCCGATTGATTCTCACCATCCTCTCGTTCCCAGGGAGGAGGAGGGAGGAGAGCACCTGAGGAAGCGTTCCATGCACCTCCCCTTCACCTTCGCCACGGGCGAGGCCCTTCTCTACCAGAGTAGCTACCCCATCCATGGCCTCACCGACTCACTCCAGGCTAAAGGCAAGACCAAGTCCAAGAAGGGCAAGCTGGACAAGAACTCGTCGAAGGATAACGGTGGACTGGACCCCAGCTCCCTGCTCGGGGCGCTGATGAGGCAGGATGAGTCCGTGTACGTGTGCCAACCAGCCGTCGAGCCCAAGATGTCCTTCCACAGTAGTCTGTTTAGTGAGCAAGACGAGGGGGAAGGGCAGAGCAGTGGAGGTTATAGCGGTGGCCCTCTGGCTGGGGGTGGGGGAGAGAGCTGGAGCACCGTGCCCAACAGGGTCACCACCACCTCCACTGGCCCCAACGGGGAGCCTCCGTCAAGCTTCGACCCGCTGCTCACCACCCTGGACTCACTAGCTCTGGAGGGGGACGAGACATGCTCTAACAGGTGATTGTATATTTGTATATATTGTATATAATATTATATACAGTGGGGAGAACAAGTATTTGATACACTGCCGATTTTGCATGTTTTCCTACTTACAAAGCATGTAGAGGTCTGTAATTTTTATCATAGGTACACTTCAACTGTGAGAGACGGAATCTAAAACAAAAATCCAGAAAATCACATTGTATGATTTTTAAGTAATTAATTTGCATTTTATTGCATGACATAAGTATTTGATACATCAAAAAAGCATAACTTAATATTTGTTACAGAAACCTTTGTTTGCAATTACAGAGATCATACGTTTCCTGTAGTTCTTGACCAGGTTTGCACACACTGCAGCAGGGATTTTGGCCCACTCCTCCATACAGACCTTCTCCAGATCCTTCAGGTTTCGGGGCTGTCGCTGGGCAATACGGACTGTCAGCTCCCTCGAAAGATTTTCTATTGGGTTCAGGTCTGGAGACTGGCTAGGCCACTCCAGGACCTTGAGATGCTTCTTATGGAGCCACTCCTTAGTTACCCTGGCTGTGTGTTTCAGGTCGTTGTCATGCTGGAAGACCCAGCCACGACCCATCTTCAATGCTCTTACTGAGGGAAGGAGGTTGTTGGCCAAGATCTCGTGATACATGGCCCCATCCATCCTCCCCTCAATACGGTGCAGTCGTCCTATCCCCTTTGCAGAAAAGCATCCCCAAAGAATGATGTTTCCACCTCCATGCTTCATGGTTGGGATGGTGTTCTTGGGGTTGTACTCATCCTTCTTCTTCCTCCAAACACGGCGAGTGGAGTTTAGACCAAAAAGCTCTATATTTGTCTCATCAGACCACATGACCTTCTCCCATTCCTCCTCTGGATCATCTAGATGGTCATTGGCAAACTTCAGACGGGCCTGGACATGCGCTGGCTTGAGCAGGGGGACCTTGCGTGCGCTGCAGGATTTTAATCCATGACGGCGTAGTGTGTTACTAATGGTTTTCTTTGAGACTGTGGTCCCAGCTCTCTTCAGGTCATTGACCAGGTCCTGCCGTGTAGTTCTGGGCTGATCCCTCACCTTCCTCATGATCATTGATGCCCCACGAGGTAAGATCTTGCATGGAGCCCCAGACTGAGGGTGATTGACCGTCATCTTGAACTTCTTCCATTTTCTAATAATTGCACCAACAGTTGTTGCCTTCTCACCAAGCTGCTTGCCTATTGTCCTGTAGCTCATCCCAGCCTTTTGCAGGTCTACAATTTTATCCCTGATGTCCTTACACAGCTCTCTGGTCTTGGCCATTGTGGAGAGGTTGGAGTCTGTTTGATTGAGTGTGTGGACAGGTGTCTTTTATACAGGTAACGAGTTCAAACAGGTGCAGTTAATACAGGTAATGAGTGGAGAACAGGAGGGCTTCTTAAAGAAAAACTAACAGGTCTGTGAGAGCCGGAATTCTTACTAGTTGGTAGGTGATCAAATACCTATGTCATGCAATAAAATGCAAATTAATTACTTAAAAATCATACAATGTGATTTTCTGGATTTTAGATTCCGTCTCTCACAGTTGAAGTGTACCTATGATAAAAATTGCAGACCTCTACATGCTTTGTAAGTAGGAAAACCTGCAAAATCGGCAGTGTATCAAATACTTGTTCTCCCCACTGTATATTATAAGTATTTTCCAATTGAATTGAGTGTAAAGTGCCGTTAGACTGCCCAATGTACAGTCAGTCTTGCCCAAGCTTTCCAGTCTTTTGCCCTTCTAATAATAATGAGTTTTTAATTCCCAGTGTTTTTTTATGTATGCATTGTTGTACTCCCATGGCTGAGGCAACTCTATATCTTTTTGAATTTGTCAAATAAAATAAATGTCTTCATTTCAGCGAGCTGTTCTCTGCTCTGGAGAATCTGGGTCTGAACGCGGAGGATCTGGAGCTACTACTGCTAGATGAGCGGATGATCAGAGTGGAGATGGATCTAGACTACATCCCCTCGCTCAACGACCTGCTCACCAACAACGAGATCCTCTCCTACATCCACGACTCGCTGGAGAACAGGACAGAGGAGGGCCAGGGTGGGGACAGCCACGTGTCCATACCACAACCCTCACCCTCAACCACAACCCATCCCCCTGGCCCTATCCCTAATTCTGCCCTTATCACTAACCCTCATACCCAAGCCACCCCCACTATGCATATCTCTACCCTCCACCCCCAGGCTACTAACCCTTCTGCCCCCCAACCTACGTTACCCGCTCAGCTACCCCCTCACAGACTACCAAAGCAGCCACCCATAGTGCAGCTCTCCCAGCAGATGCAGCAGCACCTCAACTTAGTAAAGCCCGTTCTGGTAAAATACCCCTGGCCCCCAACACAAACGGATGTCCCCACACCAAGCCAGCCAGACACACTGCAGCACACAAACTCCCTAACCGTGGTCCATAATGGTCACTGGCTTCCCCAGCAGCAGCTTACGCATGCAGGGCTAGATGACCACTGCCACAGCCTTCACCCCCTGGTCAACGGTAAGACATCCCAGCTGGGGCCTCACGTGGCCGGGCAGCTCAAACACCACCAGCACCAGAACAACATCCATCAGAGTCAGCAGCAGTGGCAGCAGCAGAACCAGCACCTACAGGTCCAGCTTCAGTCTCAGTCTCAGTGCCATTTCAAACAGCAGAAGGCTAGTAGCTGCGGCAGTGCTACTCTCAACGGGGTGCGCCCTGATCCCCATTGGCAGAGTTATGGCTACAACGACCAGTTGGGACTGACAACTAATGGAGCTAACGGAGCCTGCACCGTCTCCTACCCCAACTGGCACGGGGACACCCTCTCACACACTACAGGAGGGGAGGTCACTCACATGGATTACGGTATGGGTGAATCGACTACCGTGGGCCTGGTCATGAACAGGGGTACAGTAGGGGGCATAGATCACTACCAGGAACAAGGAGGGGTGACTGCTACCCCCTCAGACCATCTGGTGCATCACAAACAACATCATCCACAGGTCCCATCCACCTACTTCCCCCACCAGTGCCCCACCACACAGAACTCCTTAGATTACATCCTGGGACTATCACAGCCTCATCACACCATGCCTACTCTGGACGCCTATGGCATTTTGAACAGCCCCGCTTCCCAAGATGCCACTTGCTGCAAGGTAAGAGTCAAAGAATAAAGTAAGATGCTCATAGATAGATAATAAACCTAATGTATTTTTCTTGTTTAATATTTGGTGAATTTCTGTGACTATGTTATTTGTCTTGTGTTGTGTTGTTTGTGGGACTGTCTTGTTAATGGTAATTGACAACCCAGTATTAGAAGCGCTATTTCTATGTCATGAAAGCGATGATTCTCTGTAAAGGCACTGATATAGCATGGGAAGCCCAGCCTCTGGCTTGTTTGGGCTGCTGCTTTATAGTTCAATGCAAGATATGTTGATGTGAACAGACATGCAATGTAAACAGATGAGTGGAGAGCAAGGGTCACGGCAGTGGAGAATCTATTAATGGAGAGGAAAGTAGGTCTCACATGGAGGAGTAGTCTCCACAGCCAAGCTTTGATCTGTCAACTGTTGAAATGATTCTGTCAACTTAAGCATCGATTGCCGTAGGAATACCTTCTCCTACCAGAGTTGTTTCCCTGCAGGCAGCACAACATGTGCTACTGCTAGCCTTGACCTAAATGCCTGGTCTGATCCTACTGCAATGTGATTGTGAAGAAAGCAGCTCTGGTCTGCAGGCCCACCTTACAATCTGTTCAAAGCTGATAATGTAAGCATGACTTCAGATCAGGACACTGACCCAGAAGTGAACTAGTGTAGGCGTGAGAGAGAACAGTAGGCTATTCCACTTCCATGGCTGCAGCTTCAGGGTTCTACATACGGTACAGTACAATACAGTTACAGTATATGTTGTGTTCAGTAATGTAGGGTTCTAGCTCAGAGTATTGAATGATGTTGCTTTAAGAGTGTATCACACGCGGTGTGCGTGCACGGATGTGGGAGTGTCACACAAGTTTGTACTAGTTGATAACATGTTTAATTGCACAACAAGCCTCCGTACATTTGGCGACAAAGATGAGATTCGGACCCACGCGTGCCTCCGTGCATTTGTAACTGTATCCAGTACAGTAGTCATGCCAGGGAGGGTAACAAGGGGCCCAGTCAGTCAAAACAAGGCCTCAGGGCAAGAAAAACTGGACTATAGAACTCTGCTCATTAGTACAGTACCCAGTCCATTCTGCATGCTGGACACCATCTTTCTCTCCTTGTTGTTTGTTGTGCTGAATTGATGTTTCAAGATCCATGAAGGGTAACGAACGATAGAGTTGGTTGGTCTCTTTGTTGAGAGAGAGACTGAGACAGAGAGAGAGAGAGAAAGCGAGAAAATGCCGATGGTGAGGAACGGTAATGAATAGAATAAGGTTCAGTCCCACAAATAACCGGACCGGCGGCCATTCATGCCTCCATCCCACTCCGCCTTTCCTGTGTTTTCCTTCAGGGTCAGCGACCACGCCTCAGAGGAACATAGAGCCAAGCTGGCCAGTCAAGCATGAGCTGTCCTGACCTACAATTTGCCCATCATCATTACCTAATACATACAGGCGCAGAAGAACGTGTGGAAGGGTTGTGTGTGTGTGTGTGTACCTACATGCGTGGTGTGTCACATCCCACCACAGGTGGTGCTGTTTCCCCGGGGGGGGGGGGGGAATTAGAGATTAGTTGAGTTTGGCCCACCTTAACCTGGCTGGTTTTGTCCTGCTGCAGGTGCTCAGTATCCTGCTGGCCTGCCCCTATGGGGGGCCTATATAAGGTGGCCCTATTAGGATTTCTACATGGATGATGCCTAGCTTATCCAGTTAGGGCCCACTAAGCAGGATTACAATTAGGCCGATGGTAGGAGCTGTCACAACAGACACTCTGTCCCCACACACACAGGGGATTCCTTCATACAGGGAAGCCACAAAGTACATACTCACACCTATGGAGCATAAAGACTGGATATCAGTGCATGTACCAGTTACAGTACTCAGTTGGTGTGGCGGATAAGCTACTTTTTCAATGAGCTATTGTAGTTAGCTTGTGTATTAGCAACTACTACAAGCTACAATTAGCTACTCTATCTTGTGTCTTACAGGCCCTGTCTGTGGGTGAGGTTTAGTCAGTAGCCTGGCCCTATAGTAATCCTACCCTGGTGCAGTATGTGGCTTAGCTCCTTCTCCATGTGATGTAATGTGTTCTCTGCCCTGATGACTGCGGGCCCCCAGTCCACCCCACCCAGCCTCTGCTGTCCACTGCCAAGAGTGTGTGTGTGTGGGCACTCTGCTCCACTCTACTCTCTGGCTGACCTGACCTGCAGTAGCCCTTTCCTGCAGTCAGATGACCTAGTGGCCTCATGGGTGGAATATTTTTCATAATGAATAAACAATATGTATTTTTTAAACACAGAAAATCTGTTGTTTTTATGTCAAATGGTTTTGCTATATTTCAGTCCTCTGTGATGTATATAAAGTGTAATATTGGGATGCAAACTCAAAATGTAATACATGCAACTCTATATCTGACATGGTACAGGTGTCTTCTTTTGTTTGAGCCCATAACCATGTGTGTGAGGTGTATACTTTTGTTTCAAAGCAGATTTGTTTAAGACTGTCAAGAATCACTCTGTGTGACTCTGATTTAGCCCACTGCTGTAAAAGGTTAAGTGATTAGTGTTAATGACCTCACCACGCCACAGAACAGAGCCCAGTGTAGTGGTTATAGTTTGTTTGTTTTGGGGGGGGGGAGAAGGGCGGGGTTGTGTTCTATCATATGCATACAGCTCTAATTATATTTGATTGTTGTTCTGTGTTTAGATGGAGAACGGCTGCATCCGCAACAACACCAAGGTGGCCTACACAGGGAGCTGTCTACTGCCCAATGTGAACGGCCAGACAGCCAGCGACAGTCTCCACCCCCACCCTGAAGCCCTACAGACCCTGCCCACCCTCCTGGACCTACAGACTACTGGGTTCTACCTCTGAGAGGGGGAGCAGGGGTGGGTGAGGAGGGGGTGTCAGGGCAAAGAGAAACCACGGGACCATTTTGTCAGGACAAGAGGAGGGGGGGGGGGGGGGGCATAAAAAAATAAACAGAGCGAAGAGGAGGAGAAGCAGAAGAAGAATTCAAGTGAACTGTGGTTGTTACGACTTTGTTTTCTATGGAACATTCTCTCCATTTCATTTGTGTATGACTGACTCAGTACTCAGTGAAAGAGCTCAGGATAGTGTCTCTCTGCACTCTCTGACAGTAGTTCCCCCACTGGCACACAGCTCAGTGGAAACTAAATGCATCTTCTCATGTTGTTGCACATTTTTTATGAAGGCTATGGTTGGTTGAGAGAGCGCCAATTTCTTCACTACTGTGAATTTCATTGTTTTTCTTTATGGGTGTACAAAATACTGTTTCGGTCAAAGACTTGTTTTACATCTGTCATAGCTCCAGTACTGCATTTCAATACAGTATAACTTGTTAAAGGAGAGAAAGTGAATGTGGGTATTGAAAGGATGGAGAAGGATTGATATGGAGATTAATATTAATATTCATTATGAAGAACAATGAGACATTGATTGATTGATTGAATGATTGAAGGACCATGACATCTGGACTTATTGTGAGGTAGATTACAAATGTTCTATGTTTTGTTGTGTCATCTGCAGATAAAGAGGAATTGATTCAGGCCTATCATTTTGGTTTTGGTGATCTACGTGTTGATAAAATAGTATTTAGGTTGTCCTCTTACATGTTATTGATATTGAATATGTGAAACAGATCCCATATTATGGTCAAATGGAATCTAAATATGAAGAGGGAGAGCAGATCGGAGGAAGGGATGACCGTTTTGGTGTTTGTTTGTTTTCATGCTGCATTTTAACCTGCAAGAAGTTTACATTTACATTTACGTCATTTAGCAGACGCTCTTATCCAGAGCGACTTACAGTTAATGAGTGCATACATTTTTCATACATTACCAGTACAATGATGTTGTGCATTTATTTAAATGGCACTCAAATCAACCTAAGCATTTTCTTATTTTCTTGACCGGCTACAGTGTGGAATCACTCATTCAATTAAGTTCCAGAATACAGCAGTAGATAGCATGAATTCACTAAATTCAGGAAGTAAACAAACAAATTCCAGATCCATCATTCCTCATTGAAAAGCATTGAGAAAAATGTACATTTAAGTTTAGATTATTTCCTGAATTGAAATGGAATTGAGCTAAACAAACTGTATTCGCTGCTCGATGCTAAGAGGCAGAGGAATGGGAGCAGCGGTGTCTGACGTGACGAGAGAGGTTGTTTTAATAGGCCTTCTCTCTTACAGGGCCCCAAGTGATCCCATCATGGTCATCTATCACAGTGGTTCTCAAACCTCGACTCGGGACCCCCAGAAGAATCACAATACTGTTGTAGCCCTGAACTAGCTCACCTGAGTCACTTAGTTAAGAGCTTGATGATTAGTTGACAAGTTGAATCAGCTGTGCTAGCTCTAGAATAGATCAAATGCATGGAACAGCTGCGGGTCCCCAGGAGAGGTTTGAGAACCACTGATCTATCGCACTGAAAACATATTCAATGATCATACTCGGACTCATGAGCATTGATACGAAAACCAAATGAGAGGACAAGTCGTTTAAAGAGATTCTGTATTGGAAAGTTCCAATGTTGAATGTGTTGTGTATATTGTAAAAGAGTTTTTTTTTTACAGTATTTCGTTATAAAAGGTTCTGAAAAATACATTTTATTAATATTGGTAGTGTTAGAATTTGGTTACGTCCTAAATGGAACCCAATTCCGTACATAGTGCAATACTTTTAATCAGAGCCCTGGTCAAAAGTAGTGCACTATATAGGGAATAGAGTGCCATTTGGATGCACCTTATTACATAAATGTCACAAACAAACGCATTTACAGACTTGCCTCTCTCTTTATATTTGTTTGTTTGTCTTTTTTTGTATACAGACATTTCTTATATGAAATAGATTTATTGAAATCAACCATGAGATATATGTAAAAATAAAAAAGCAAGGTGACAATCAGTTACAAAAAAAAACTGCTTTAAAAAAAACTGTTGTGTAAATAGTTCAAGGTAATTTTGATGACATTTGTTGCAAGCACTACTTTAAAAGCACTGCTCCTTACAATCAATTTTTCTCTAGCACAAAAGGTAGGCTTGTAGAAAATAGTTTTGGACTCAATATTATATGACTTCAGTACCTACAGTTCTGTGTTTTATTTCAAAGTCATGTTTGGATAACTTTTTGTGACTTTTACTCAAAAGAATATGGTGCCATAGTGGTGACATACTGGAGACTCACATCAAAACATTTGATGTTTTATGTTTAAAAATACAGTTGTGTCATTGTCCTTTTTCTTTATCACGTTGAATTTATTTTGCTATTCTAACACACTCAAAGTTATTGTCGATGTAAAAAATTAATAAAAGCAGTTCAAATGTTAAAATATACTATTTGATCTTGGAAATAAAGGATTTGTGCAATCACAGTTCATCTTAATCATAGTATGTTATTATTTTGTGTCTCTTTGAAAAGTGTTAATTTAACATTTTATTTCTGATTGGTTCTGTAATGTACACTATGAACATAAAGGTGTTTATTTTTTAACACTGTGGGTGTTACACAGCACATTTTCAATTGTGATTTTATGTTCTAATACGAAGGTCCATCATTTCTTAACCCACAACTCTCACAGCTTACTTGTGTGCCTATACAGTAGGATCATTAAAGGCAATGGCTGCTGTGCAGTCTGGACAGTAGGAGGCTCTTTTAGGTTATAGACAGACTGTTATGAGACAGACAGATAGACTTGTGGGGGACAGACATACATTTAGGGAACAGACAGACATTGAGGGGACAGGCAGACATTTAGGGGACAGACAGTTATGAGACAGACGGGCAGACAGACATTTAGAGACAGACTTGTACGGGACAAACCAAGGCACCAGGGTTCCAGTCTGGAAGCATGCTTTCAAATTCCCAGAGGACAGCTTTGGTATTGCAGTTCAACTGAAGTACGGCCCAGAAAGACGGCCCCATAGAGAAGTCAAATTCGAAAATTCATAATAAGACACTTTAGTCATCACCTTTGTGCAGTCAATCCATTGAATTATTCAAATAATAGTTGCTGAGGCCGATCTTTTTTTTCTATCACTCAGCCGAAGATATTAACATTTTATATTCATGCTCTGATGTCATGAGCCCAGCTGGCAGAGTTCCCGGAGCATGTTCGCACGATACTGCTGTCTGACCAGTGCTAGTTCTCAGGCATTTTAGTCCCGGTAAAAAAGATGTCAACAACCACGAAACGGCATATGCGAACGCGAGTAGATTACGTTGAAAACAACAGGCGTCCATCTTGGACGCTGTCTCCAGTTCTTCTATACCTAAGTGGGACAGACAGATGTTTGAGGAGACAGACAGACTTGTCCTGGGGACTGGAGTGACGCACGCTATGCACCACCCAACCAGGAAGTGAGACAGTCTCTCTGAGAGTGCTTTTATCTCCATCCTCATTGATCGTTTCTCTCCATCCATCCCCCCTTCATCCCCTGGACAATCTCTCCCTTTTTGCACAATGGCAATGTGTGAACACTCACCCAGGAGCAAGCAAACAAACATATATTGATATCACAGTCACCCTCGCTGGAGACTAGAATAACTACACCTACCGACAGAGGGGACACACACTGACAAGCATCCATCTTCTTTCTGCCTGTCTGACTGACTTCCCGTCCATGAAACTAGCACGCCATTCTCTCCATCACTTCCTATCTCCTTTCTGTCTCTCTCTTATATGTCTTCTAAATGTGGATCATGGGTCGTGTTCAGTACGAACGAAATGGGAGAACATATTTTGAAACTGAGTGAGGTAGACCTGAATTTCTGTTGCAAACCCTCTTGGTACGCTTTGCCCTACTGAAGACAATGGACCATAATAGGTGTTGGTTGGTGGAGACTGGAGAGAGACCCTCTGTGGCGTAGCTAGACAGTCCAGAGTCCAGATAGAAACAGCCCCCTGCCTCGTCAATCTAATGCCTGCCAAGTTACAAACAATCTCTGTCTAATGAAGTGTGACAGCCTGACAAATGTTATTGAATAGAAACGCAAAGGGCTATTTTTTAATGTTCACAAAAAATCTTAGTCAACCCATCTTGGGAGCATTAATTCAGGAATATGTGTGTGTGTGGGGGGGGGGGGGGGGTAAATCTTTCACTGGGGGACTTTTACATACAGTATTATCTTGGAAGGAGTTCATGCTTTACAAAGCTTAGAAATGGATGTAATAATAACATGGTTTAATTCCAGTCCCCGACAGCACATATCCTGTACATGTTTATCTACTTTAGAATGATGGGGAGAGTGTTCAGAAACCAAAGAGAAACGCAATGCCCAATGACAGATGTGCAGGGTCACCCAAGCCAACCAATCCCTCCGGTCTGCTTCTGCCTCCCTCACTAGCTGTTTTCATCTTTAATGACCCACATGAAATCATTTATGAGAGCTTTTCTTCTCCTTTGGTTTCCTCAGTTAGCCATGCATGTTGTAACATTATCAACAGGAGGAAGCAGCGTTAGCCCCTAAGTCTTCTCCAGTGTTTTCCAGTATGTCACACTCCATTCCACGGGGGAATGTTTTTATGGTGCGGATGGAGCTCATATACAGTGGGGGGAAAAAGTATTTAGTCAGCCACCAATTGTGCAAGTTCTCCCACTTAAAAAGATGAGAGAGGCCTGTAATTTTCATCATAGGTACACATCAACTATGGCCTCTCTCATCTTTTTAAGTGGGAGAACTTGCACAATTGGTGGCTGACTAAATACTTTTTTCCCCCACTGTATATAGAAGGCAGTTGCTGGGGTATAGGAGGAGAACGGATTGTGTGTGTTCATGTGCTGGTCATTGAGATGATCCCTCTCTACACGATACCTAGCCCCAATGTGAACAGTGAACACAGAGGTGTTCCAAATAGCACCCTA